TACCATTGTTCTGGCAACAAATGCAGAACAAAAAAGGATTACTCATAATCCATGGTACAACAAAATAGGAAACACTTATTTTGTGAGCCATCAATTGTATTTTCCAAAATCATAAGGAAATACAAAAGAAAATGCCACAAATACCCAAAAACACGAATATTATAGGGTTCATTATGCATTTTCACATCCTTACAAGCATCAAACATGTAATATGAATATACCAAAATGTAGAGCATTCCATTACGAACACACCGGTACCAAGAACGCTCCATTCAGAGCTCCCACTTCTTTTTTCGGGTCGGTCAACGGTCAACGGGTTGGTCAATGGGGTCAACGGGTTGGTCAATGGGGTCAACGGGTTGGGTCAATCAGACTAGAGGACCCCGTGGTTGATGTTAGCTACGCTGCGCCGGTTGGCGCACGCATACCGCACACGCACACGCGAACCGCGTAGGCAAGCGCATGGCAGCGTGTGAGGCAAGGTCGCGCATGGGGGAGCGTGCGGCTTCCCCAGCGACGTGCCACCACTTGTTTTACTCGTCTCGATAAGTGCTACCATCTCGTATAATCAAAATTGATTTTTGATGGACGGAACTCTGAGAAGCAGTCTCAAACAGTACAATCGGGTGGCATTTTCGTACCCGAGCGGCCATCTGAGCCAATTCTTGTTTTCCGGCAAATCCGTGTTTGTATAACAACTCGTTTAACAATATATCAACCACAGCTCTGATACCAATGTTGGAAACGGATTCCAAATCTCGAACAGTCAAGAAACAGTTCCTAAAATCGAGACTTAAACAACGAGAAACATGCCCAGGAAAAACTACAAACGCTAATCGAATAGATTTATCACATAACGAACATACTTTGTTTCCACGGATTAAATGCCATCAATTGTAGGCTCAAGAGTTTCTCGGATCATTCGTCAAGGTGAAGAGGAGAGAGTAAAAACGTGTGTTTTTCATAACCTCATAACATCGTTCTCTTTTCTGCATTTCTTTTTATCTATTGATAACTGCTCTATCTCTTTCACAAGATCTTATCCCATTTTTTTTAATTGAACCGCCAAGAGCAGTTGCATAATTCGTAAGTAGCCGCCAGAGAAGTTACTTGAGATGGGCCCTCATGATGAATCATGGGCTGGGTTAGCTTAACATGGGCGGCCCACCCATAAAACCCGATATCCATCATAAGATTTTAAAGTAATTGATCCCATAAGTCTAGGTGAATCCTTTGGCAACCAACTGAGCTTTATACCTTTCAATAGATCCACCAGATCTATGCTTGGTTGCGAATACCCACTTGCATCCAACTGTGGTCTTTCCCTTGGGTAGATTCACCATATCCCAAGTTCCATTTTTTTCCCAAGCTTTCATCTACTCAAGAATTGCTTGCTTCCACTCAGGTACCTGTAGAGCATCCTGCACAGTTTTTGGAATCTCTACACAAGACAATGTTGAGATAAATACAAGGAAATTGGGTGAGAGGTTTTTGTAAGACACATAACGAGACATAGGATGTTTGGTACAAGACCTAACTCCTTTTCGAATTGCAATAGGTTTGTCAAGTTCATCAGGTTAAACAGATTGAGTTGGAACATTACCCGATGACTGTATGGAGTTTTGGTTATGCCCTGGTTCGGACTCATGGCACCTTAAGGGAGCAGGAGACTCATTTCTTTGAGTGTTATCTCTTCTGGTGTAGACTTGAGAATAGGATGGAAGCTCTGTATTATTGGTAGTAGTTTCGCACCTGTTATGCTCACAAGTAGGATGCGATGGCAATATAGGTGGACCCGAATTTTCATTATTTAAAACACTTAGTTCCAAATCTGGTATAAAGATTACAGGAATAGGATTTTTGGAAAAAGGATTTTTAGGTTCCGTTAGACGAAAAGAATCTATGATGGTGTTGTGCGAATTTGCACTTTTTCCCCCTCTGAAGATGAGCTCTAAAAAATGGTATTGATTCAAAAAAGGTGACATCCATGGTCACAAACATATTTTGGAAATCGAGTCAAGGCATTTATACACTTTTTGATTAGGTGCATAACCAACAAACACATATGGTTTTGCTCTGGGATCAAGTTTCCCCCGATTTCTATCATGGATGTGGACAAAGGAGGAACAACCGAATAGTTTTAAGGGTAAGGCTGAAGCAAGTCCAAAAATTGGGTAGGTCTCCTGAAGGACTCTCAAGGGTATTTGAAATCCTAACACTCTAGAAGACATTCTGTTGATGAGATATGTCAAGAGCTTCACCCCAGAGGTATGTGGGAACTTTAGTTGTAAAGAGTAGAGGTCTAGTTACTTCTAAAAGGTGTTTATTCTTCCTTTCTGTCACCCCATTTTGCTGAGGGGTATTAGGGCAAGAACTTTGATGCACAATCTCCTTTTCCAAGAAAAATTGTCCCAAAATTCTATTGAAATATTCTTTCCCATTATCACTCCTAAAATTCTGGATTTGCACTTGGAATTGTGTTTATACTATGGTGTAATTTTTTTTTTTTAAATAGTCTCTACTTTAGGTTTCTCATTTAACAAGTATACCCAACTCACCCTTGTAGAATAATCAATAAATGTAACAAATCATTTCTTTCGCGAGGGTGTAGGAATTCTAGATGGGCTCCAAACATCACTATGAATTAAGGAGAATGGTTTCGACAGCTTGTAGATTTGTGAAGGAAAATTGGTTCGATGATGTTTGGATAGAATTCACACTAAAATGAAAATGCACTTTTATTCAAAAACAACTTTGGGAATAAGAACTTTAAATATTGAAAATTTGGATGACCTAGCTTATAATGCCATAACATAATGTCATCATCCTTACTAACAGTAATAGATTCGAAATAGCTACCGTAAACTTGTCTACTTGAGCTTGTTCCATCCTCAAAGAAATAGTCTTCCACTCTCTCTAGCATTGCCAATTGTCCTCCCCGAGGTCAAGTCCTAAAACTCACAATGAGATGAGAAAAAATCTGGTTGACACTTTTAATCAGAGGTTATTTTACTAATCGACAGCAAGTTACAAGATAGCTTCAGGACATGAAGAACATTCTAAAGTGCGAGGGCAGGTGAGAGCTTGATAGATCATGATCCTGCTATAGCTAAAAGAGAACCACATGCAATTATGATTTTTTTATTTCCTGCACACAGACTATAGGTAGAAAAGAGTTTTGAACAACCTATCATATGATCGGTTACTCCTGAATTGAGAATCTATGGAGTTTTTGGTGTGGATTTTCTATGAGGAAAGCAATAGAAAAATAATTACCTTTCTGGGCTAAAGAACAAGATAGATTTGAAGAAGGTTGTGGAGATTGAACAAGTTTAAGAAGTTTGTATAGGTGACCTAATTGTTCCTTTGTAAATGGAATCGAATCTGACTTGATTTGCTCTTCTTCGTTGGTTGCTTGGAAAACACTATCATCACTACTGCTCCTTCTCTTCGAACCTTCTTTCTTCCAATTCTGCGGTTCTACGTGAATTTTCCAACATGTCTCTTTGGTATGCCATGGTTTCTTGCAATGTTCACATCACGGTTTCTTCCTCCTATCTTCTTCAAAATCAGGCCCTCGAGATACAAGTGCAGAATTTTCAAATATAGAGCTAACATTTGTTTCCAAATCACGTAGCATGATTCGCCTCCAAAATTCCTCCCTTCTAACTTCAGAGAAAACCTCGCGAATGTATGGCAAAGGTTTTCGACCAAGGATCATGCCTCTCACTTAATCCAAGCTTCGATTAAGGCCTGCTACAAAACATATATACTCTATCATTCTCTTCTCTCTTCATTTGACTCTTACAATCAGCTGGACTTTCACATGTATCATCGTAGCATTGATCTAATTCTTGTCAGAAGGTCACCATTTCATTGCAGGAAATAGTAACCTCACAATCCCCTTGCTTTAATTGCCATAGCTTTGTCTTTAGTTCAAAGATCTGGGATGAATTTTTCAAATCATAATATGTTTCTCTCACAGTGTCCCACACATCTTTAGCAGTAGGAAGGAACGGGTGCGGTTTTCCAATTGATGGTTCCATAGAATTGATTAGCCAGGCAATCACTAAAGAGTTCTCAAATCTCCAAATCTTCCAAGATGGATTGCTTTTTGTTGGTTCCTTCACCTCGCATGTCAAGTGGCCTACCTTTCCTCCACCATCAATTTGCTAATTTCACCTATTGAGCCCACTCCAAATAATTTTGGCCATTCAGTCAGTTAACTGTTTATAGCAGGTTGGAATTCTTGGAGAATTGCTCTCCACCATTGCTCAATTGTGTAGAGAGATTAGTTGGGTTGTCTCTAGCATGACACCTAAAGGATTGGTGTCCCTACTAGCTCTGGTCATCGCTGTTTTCACCATTATAGGAGCCGGATTCAAAACCTAAGCTCTGATACCATTCAATTTTTAAAGAAGAAAATTTGTCTCTCCTATTTTTTATTACTTCTCATACTTACAAAGAACATGACATTTAAATAGGGCCAACGACAACTAAAAGAATAGAAAGAAATAAGAATAGATTTCCTACTTCTGAATTCTAGCGATTTACTTCCTAATCTTGAGAATTTAGAAATAAATGGAAACAAAATAATTTTCGATCTCGAGATTTTCATCTAATTTTTTGGCAGATTTCCCTTGAGATTTCCGAGATTTTCTTCTAATTATTCAACAATGTAATTTTGAGATAAATAAAATATTTTTTTAAATACAAATGAATTACAATAGTTAGATAATGAAGAGACGGGAGAAGGGTGAGGGGCGATATTAGAGGGGATATGCTTTGCTATATTTATGAGAAAACTCCAAAAAAATTTCTTGAAACGAGGAGAGTTCTATTCTAATAATCTACAATACTCTAAGGTACACTTAAAGGTAAAACTTAGAAAAAACTTTGTTACAAGACATTTATATAGATACCCGAGAAGCAATATGAACGGATAAGAATAATTAGTCTGTCCACATAATTTCATCAAGCTCTAATTATTCAATTTCCAATTGGACTTTACAACATCATATCGATTTCACGTGACACACATTATATTAGAAACAAAGTTTCTATAATCAGTACCGAAATCGACAGGGAAAAACTGAGATTATGACGATGCAACCAGTTGGGAAGAGTTGTGCAAAGATTAAGAAAATTAAGAAAATTGAAATACAAACCTAGAATTAAGAAAATTGAAAAAAAAAAAAACAAACAAACATGGAAAGAGGGCGAGACAAAGGCCAGAGCAGCCCCACCTTTGCCAGGGGCCGAGGGCCTCACCACCCTCAAATCGAGTTGGGGAAGGGCTGCACCGCTCTCCCTGCGGCGAAGCGAGGCTTGCCCACACTCTCGCCACCGCTTGGCAAGGGTTTGCACGCCCCTTGCCGTGGCAAAGCAAGGGGCTGCGTGACCCTCGCAATCAGCTGGTGAAGGTATGCAAGATCCTCGCAATCAGCTGGGGAAGGTATGCAAGATCCTCGCAATCGCAAACCCTCACCTCGGCTCGGCTGATAAAACAAAATCCTGATTAGAAACGAATAAAATGGAGGCTGCCACAAATGCTCAGTTCAACCAAATATTACGGTACATTGACAAAGTCACTGTGACAGGGCAGCTGATTTGAGTTACTTGATTTACCCATAGGGCCAACAAAAATTTTGATTTAACAACTTAAACCGTCAAATAGTTGCGCCTCATAAGAGCAAGATCCAATTTCAGTATCTGCAACGGTAAGATATGTAGAATTGATAGTTGAAGCTGAATAACCAGAATGAAGCTAGTCGAATGTAGAGTTGGTATCCACTTGACTCCACTCTTTACAAATCTCTCCCCATTGCCATGATTTTCTGGAAGTAATTAAGTGGAATTGATAGATTTTTAAAGATAGACATAGAAACTTACCACCGTGGGACCTCGAGTGGCTGAAGCAGTCATCTCCCTCTGCCATTGTAGACCGAGGATTCAGAAATTTGGCCAATTTGCCGAACTTCTCCAGAAGCATTTTCTGAAGAATTCGTAGGTCATTTCTATTGCAGTAAGGGGAAAAAGAAGAGTCAGAGATTTGAACCTGACTCATGCCCTGTGGTAAGGAAGAATTTATTAGACTGAAAATATCGTGCATTATTAGGACTCTTTATTACAACAAATCAACTAACTGATGCATGAATCAGTACGTGGGAGCTGGGACAACCGGTCACCCAGAAACCACACTTATCGAATGGTACCTATACTTACAAAAGAAAGAAAAGCCTCTACCAAGAATGGTTCAGCAAAACTGTGGAGGGAAAATGAATGTAGTAATGGAGATGAGGGCTGCTTTAATTTTCTCAGACCAGCATCAGATGTCCCAATGAATAACTCCACTCAATGTCGCTTCATTTCCTGGAATATGTTTGATACCTTTGGTGACAATCTAGGGAGGAACTTGAATAACTGTTCAAACGAGCAAAAGCATTATTTAACCAAATGAGACATGTCAAAAAAATGAAGAACCAATTCAGATGTGAGAGAGAGAGAGAGAGAGAGAGAGAGAGAGAGAGCATATTAGTTGCAGTGAGCATGTCAAGAGTACACTCGAAATTACTTCTAACAGCCAAATATTAAAACCCATCATTATGAATGTATCCAATCAAAGATCTCAGCTAAAAAAATTGCTAATTGGGAGAAAGAGATTGGAGCTCTCTTGTTTTTCCACAACGCCTTCAAAGGACGGCAAATTAAGAACACAAACTTCCATGCATGCATGCAAAACCAAGGATCACGGTACAAGACAGGAAACAAGAAGGAATGAGTTCCAAATAGATGAAAACAGAGTTGTGCTGGTGAGCAAAAGGTCGTTTACAAATAACAGACTAACCGCCTCTTTGATATTTTATTGATGTGAGACTAGATTTAAGAAAAAAATAATCTCAGAAATACATTCTTATTTCTACATAAGTTACTCCAACAAGAAAGACAGTGAGTATTGCAGACTTGCAATTAAATCAAAATCACGGCACTTATCAACTACAAAGGCGGTATCCTCATTAAGGTGCTTCCACTTACAAGTGTTCATCCCCTTGCTTTCTAGTTTTGTAAGGTTGGGCACCTCTTGCTATTTCATGAATGAATCAGATAGATGTAATGTTGTCGTGCATGGTGAAAGCAAGAACTAAACAAAAGGGCCAGAAAAATCTATCCAGACACTTTGTATCTATAGGAGATATTTCTTGATCAGAAATTCACCACAAAAAGTTTGATGAAGTACATACCCAAAGCTTCACACAAGCATCAATGATGACGGGAATCAGGCATACGAAAAAAGTAATAGCAGACTGATCAACTTCCACTCCATAATGCTCAACAATTACTTCTAACAAAGTCTGCCAACCAGATTCAGAATGATACCTGCATGTAACCAATTGAAAAGGTGCACAAGCTATAAAAAGACAAGACATGAGTCACAAAGAAATTGAGTAACTTCAAAGAAATTATATTCTACTTTCCAAAAGCCTACACATGATTTCATACAGAGTAGTAACAAAATTATTGCACGAATCAACAAACAACCTTTTATCGAAGTAAACCAATGGCCTAAAGCGCGACCAGTAAAGAAAGACAAAACATAATGATGAGCATGTAGCATTAAAACTGCCAAATTACAAATTTGAGGTTGAGGGGAATACGTAAGAGGAAGAAATGAGCAAATTTAAAATCCAAACTGAGAAATATTATCTTCTTCAAATGCAGCCTCTGCAAATTGTTTCATTTACATCAATTGGCATAAGAACAACGACCAGTTCCTATTAAGTGTACTCTAACTGAAAATGATGGGAGTATCGTGTCATAGCATGGCAGAGAAATGTTACCCTAGGCAAATATCTGTGATGAGGATAATAAGAAATGCCTTCCCAGTATCCGATATGTTATTTATAATTTTGTAACCTGTAAATTTCAGCAATGATACCTGCCAATGACCACAAGGTTAGAAAATTTAACAGGCAAGACAACAACCAAAAAGGAAGAGACAGACCTGCGTATTCCTATGAAATTTATATGATTTAGGTCACTTATGGAGAACTGATGGTCTTGTTGCATTTATGAAGTATATGGCATACATTCAGATGAACAACCAAAAACAAAATTACAAACTTACAGCGATCTCCAGAGATATTCTTTAGGGTACACTTCTAAAATTGAGTAAGACAATATAGTGTATGACTAACTTCCTTTTCCTGCATTGTTTCATCTCAAAATGCATCCAAACAAGTGAACGTAATTACAGTTCCCAGTCTTTTTCTTCCTTCAATACTTTTCGTTTCTTTTCCATTTACTTCACCCTAACCTGATAGCCTTACATAGAGTTAGACCGACCTGGAATATTTTCTGTTGTAATAAGCACAAGCTACACAACTATGACATCTACTTCATCGTTAACTCCCTATGTTATGGTATCATTTTTATGTTGTGGTGATTAAGCAACGACTTATAAATGAAGACATCATAAGAATCTATCATCTCACAATTAATAAAGACTACTACAAGAAGACCGAAAAGGGTGGCAGACAAGGACTCACCTTACTTTGATTGAAATACAAAATCAGAAAGAGTGAAATGCCAAATACCATATCGGACCATATGTTGGCAAATGCTCTACGATTTTCTAGTCTCCACTCATCTCGCAACTCCAAGCTGTTCGAGCAACAAGAAAGGAAACATATATTACAAGATTTACATTATTCCTTCTATTGTAAGAATTCTCAAGCTAGAACTTATAACATGTTCAAAGAGAGAGGAATGCTATCACTTAACAAACAAACGTAGCGTTTAAAGTGGGTAAATTTCATCTGTGGTCACTGAAGTTTAGTGGATTTTGCAGTCAGATAACTAAACTTTGATTTCAATAACACAGTGCACTACTTTGAATATTTTGCAATTGATGTACTTGGACTGCAATCCAGCTAATTTTCCAATGAACCATTGACGAGGCAAACGTGTGGAGCATTTAATGAAAGCCACGTTATTGCTACATGGGCACAAACACAATATCATTTATCCGACAAAATTGGCCACATTCTGGTCACAATGTATCGATTGCAAAAATTTGAAAGTTGAGATCATTGTTTATCTCCCTATCTTATTTAATTCAGGTTTTTCGGACACATGTTTCAGGGTGTATTCCTGATTAGAGGTTCTTAGCATAGGTATTTCAGTTGGCTAGCTTGCCCCTCTTTTCCGTTACTTAAGTACAACATCTCTTGGTATGAAGGTGGAAAAAAGAAATGATAATGAAAGAAATTTGCAATCTCTTACAACTAACATCTACATCAACTAAGGTTTGACAGAAAAGGCGATCTTACGCTTTATGCCGTAATTCCAACCAGGCCTCTTCGTCGGATAGTGGTGGAGATTTACCAATCTCTTCCTCAAACCTATATCTTGCCTTTTCAACTTTCAATTCTTTAACCATTTCCAGTTTTTGGTTCCTTCTCACATCAAGCATCTGGGCTGCAAGTGGAACAGTCTTTACATACCTGTCAAAACCAAAGTGATTGATTTGATCAGTTGGGGAAAATTTCCAATGACATTGATTAGGACAAAAGAGTAAACAACTGAATTTGATGCAAGAACTGAATGCCAATTCATAAGCTTAAGGGAAAGCTCCATTGAACAACAATAAGGCCCGCAGTGCTTCATGACATGGAATGCTAGGCAGTTAAACACCAGCATGCACAAAAAGATGAGTGGCAAAGATGAGAATGATTCATTGGATGTGTCAGCCCAAGAAAAGGTAGGAATTGAAATGAAGTCATTCAAGAAAGGTAGGTGTGGCACCAAGAAAGGACCATATAAAACAAAGGCCTCTAGATACTCTAGTGAGGAGATGCATTTACGAGATGAAGAGTCCCAAGGACGAATTTTAAGGGGGGAGCCAGGGGAGCCCAGATATGAATTTCAAATTTGAGAAGAAAATTTGGCATGCTGTGCTTTAACATTATGACAGATTACTACTTTGATAACACTACTTATATATTGAGAAGGTTGCACTCTACTTAGATTTAGGAGACCCTTAAGGAAATAAATTTCATATATAATCTGTATAGTTATAATTATTAAGTTGGATACTCTTAATGTCTGTTCTTGTATTGATAAAGGATCTCTGTAATCATAATCCTTTTGCATACATTTCACTGATTGTATATAATGGAGTTTATCATCACTTTATAATTCTTTATGATAAATTTAAGATTTTTACTGTAGATCCGTACCCTGAAGAGTCAGATTAAAAGGGGTAGAGGAAGACCAAAAGACATAGAAGCAGATGAGAAAATGGATATGGAGTGGGTAGATCTTTCAAAGAATTTGGTACAGAATTGAGTGCAATGGCATAAAAAAGATTTATATAGCCAACCATCTCCTCTATTGAATGATTAACGTGAACTCTCTATGCCATAGTCTTTTGTTACAATGACCGCAATCGAACAATTTTGCAGCCCCAACCATTTCCTCTAATGAAAGAGAAGTCAATAGAAAGAAAAGGATTTGGTGGTCCCGTGTGCCTTCAAATGTACTACAAATTAGTTAGTGAGATGCAAATGCTAATCTTGCAACAGGAGGAGACATGATTTTTCCGTGGCCATCGTTTGACATTAAAACACTTGGCAACAGTAAGATGCTCAGGAATAGCATCAAGCACCACAAGATGCAGTCATGCAGGAAGGACAAAACAAGTTAAATTGGCTAACCTATCAAAAAACTTTTGTTGCAGAGACTAGAACAACAACTACGACTGGCTGTAAACTGTAAAGGGAAGATATCTGGTCACTCTTCCTAATTTTAATGAAGTATCAAGTCTCATAGATATGTTCTTTTCCCCTGTTGGACATTTTCTCCGAGAAAACATAGAACCCCATTGATATTCCTTTTAACAGAGCAAAAATCAACCAGTCAGAGCTTAAGAGAAACACCACCAGCTCATAGTAGTTTTATCACACTCTACATGTTTAAAAGTAATAAAAATGAAAAAGACAAATCATGGAGATCTTGATGTTTACCTGTCCAGAAAAGGCATAAGAACATAGTCATGAACCATGAAGTCCAAGGCGCAGGGTATTATTATTAGAATCGCCAGAAACTTAGCCTACAAGTCAAATTTCATTTATTCAGCAAGTAATTCTCACATAGTTGCGATCGGAAAACATAACACCTAAACAGCAGAAGTAACAGTATGAGCTAACAATGAGCATCAACAATACAACAATGTAAACTTCAACCACCACAACAAACAGTCAGCTATCTCATCAAGCGTTCTTAAGACATGTACTCTGTCAAATGGCATAACCGGCCAGATTTGAGCATGGAAAATGGAGATTTATTTAGAAAGCCCTGTCCCCAAAATACAATTGCTTAAATGAATAGCCCATCCATCTTACTAAGCTCGCAATGCAAGCCTCAGTCATATTTCTTTCATCAGCTACTTAAGCAAGCTTTCGCAAACCCATCATAAATCACAGCCCTTCAGAAAAAACTACTGTCCAAGTAGTTCTAAATCCAATAACAGTAAATATTCAGAATGTATATTCTAAACCCCTAGCAATTGTTCTGTAGCAGATCTTAGCATTAAATAGAAGCAGAAAAGTGCTAGAGCAGGTAATATCTTTTCACTTTTATGGGTTAAGATGTGGGTAGTGAGAGTTGGAGAAGGGGGAGAGACATTTGATGAGAATTGAACAAAGAAGTTGCACTTGAAGCAACAGTATGATTGGGAAAAAGCATAGAACTGACTTAGCTGTTTAGGCAACAGAGCCAGAAGTCCCCTTTTCTGTCACCCAGCTTTAAAAAAGACACGAGAAAGTCATCAATTTAGAGGCTCTGATGCAACAGAGCCATAAGAAGTCCCCTTTCTGTCACCCAGCTCAATTTAGAACCTACAGTCTCTCTATTAAGTGTTTGTAGAGGGGAAAACTACATTTTTACAACCTTGAGCTTCTATATTATCATGCTCGAGTAGCAATCAACTCACTGTTAAGGAGAAACAAAGGAATCTCCTCGAAATTAGAAAGGCATAAAGATTAGTCCAAAACCCTATTGCAACCTTGTTTGAGAAAATCTCATAATTTGTCCAAGTGTACTAAGGCTAAAACCCCGTTTTGACCTTATTTGGTGAATTTTCAAGGTTTGTCCATGTGTTGATTCTATTGTGTAGATGGATTTATTGCTCAGTGTTGTCAATGAATTTCAAATCAACATAACTAGTGTAAGTAAAAGAAGATCCCTGAGTCAAATGCTTCTCGATACTATACATATTAGATAGCTAAAAACATGTACAGCTACCTATCAGACATTCATAGCAGTCTCATATCTATTTCAGTGCTCTTATAAAGAAACAAGTGATCGAATCATAAAACAAGTGTAGCTTATTGATGACATATTCCATTCACCTATCTCCTACTAGGCATCTAACCAGGAATGAGTGACGACAACATAAATGTTTGAGGATTATTTTAATCATCAATCATGTTTTACATGTTCCACGAGAAGTATTTCGGTCTGTTCAAATAAACCTTTTTCATCTCTTGAATCTTCGGAGGAGCCCGCAAAAACGATGCCAACGATGGTTCAAACAATAAGATCGGACAATCCAATTTCTAGTCCTGAATCTTGGGCAAAGCAGACAATTCCTAACCTTGAAATAGATAATCGTAAGTTTATTTTTCTTTCTATACATGCCAAGTGAAGGACTAAATGAAAGATGACAACCGAAATTGCATCATCTTTCTATTCAACAGGTCAAGTGAAGAAGAGAGCACCCCGCCATCCATCTTTTGATATATACTCAAAAGTCAAGTTGCATCTAACAATCCAAAATAATGCTGCTGACTTCATCAAGGCATCTCCCCGTAATCAAAACACGGATAGAGAAAAACACACTAAAAAAAAAACAAAAGCAACCACCTTTGAGTAAACAGACAGCAAGCAATTCACAAGCTGAATCGTAGCAAAAGCTGGTGTGACCAAATAGAAGCTATGTTTGTAATTCAAGACACAGCATGAATGCACCCACCGAATTCTGCGAGGCATACCGAAAGACACGATCCTCATACAGCATATCGTCGTCTTCTCTTCCTAAAATCATATCACTCACTGATTTAACAATACCTCTTTCACCGGAATCCAACACCAACTCCTCCCCCGAATTCCCAGCTCCGCCATTCCCATCATCCCACGATGCCGCGGCGCCGTCGTCGACGAGCCAATCCTCCCACATCCGAGACTCCTCGTTCCTCGAGTCCTGCTGCGCTTCCCTCAGCTCCACGATGGCCTCCGCCCTCCTCTTCCAAGCCTCGAACTTGTCGCCCCCGCCCGGCGGCGGCGGCGACCCCTCGCCACCCCCCGAATGCTCCTCCACTTCGTCCTCCAGCATGTCGTCCTCCTTCAGCCCCAACCAGTTCCCATCGTCCTCGAGGAAGAACCTCTTCCACCAGCTCGTCCGCCTGCCGCCGCCGCCGCCGCCCTTCCTCTTCCCCTTCGAATTGGGAACCAGGACGTCGAACCGCGCCGCCCTCGCGGCGACGCGCGGCGACGCGGAGAACTTCTTCACGGACCTGCGCGTCGGCCTAAGACGGGCATTGGCGTCGAAGAAGACGAGGCCGCGGGTCGCAACGACGGAAGCGATCATCTACCTTATCCGGAGCCAGCATCGTTCGGAGCCGCCCCGGGAGGCCGCTCAGCCGGCACGGTGATCGCTCATCGCCGGCGAAGGCGGCGGCGCGGCGGCGGCGGGAGGAGCGGAGGAGCGCCGATGGCGGCGGAGGGCGGCGGGGGGAAGATCGTTCGATGGGAGAGCGGCGCGACGCTCGATGGCGCGAGAGGAGGAGGGGGACTGCGTATCTTGCTTGTTGTACTTTGGTAGCGCCAGCGAATGGATAATGGATGACGGGGGCGTCATCAGTTTTCTGTTTTAAGGAAGGACGAACTATTAGGGGGGGATGGCTAACTCCACACCCAAACTAAAATTGCTGCTTCCACACCCTTCCACGGCGAGGTGAGTCCACCACTATCACGGGTCTTCTGAATTTCTAGTCAGGATAAAACTAGATAAGAAATGCTTCGTTTGGTGAAATTGCAGTAGTAAAGTGAAATACTTTTTTTGGTAAGGTAAAGTCAAATACTTTGATATCCTATCATATACCATAATTTGGTAGGAAATGCATATCGGTGTAAATGAATCTTGAAAATGCATAGAGAGAGATATGGTAAGAATCTCTCACGAACACGAACAGGTGCCGAAAGAAATCACAGATGCACAGATGGAGACAACCTCGAGCGATCGATCTGTGATTATGGCACGACCTGAACCTTAAATAGCAACTGAGTTCGATATAGTATTTCGGATCTGCGCGTTCGACCGTGACAAGAAATGTAAATGGGTTGCAGCTGCATCGACGAGGTAGATCGGCTATGTCAAATCTAGTAAGAGGGAGAAAGTATGATCATTCACATTTGCTTCGACTCTCTCACCTCTCTCGCGAAGCTTCAACGTGAACCGAAGAGCTATGGAGGAGAAGGAGTTTCCACTCTATGGCCGCTTTCGTCGAGTTTCGACATGAACTAAAGAGTTACAGAGAAATTGGAGTTACGGAGGAGTTGTAAAACTTCAATGTACACAAGAATCATGGAGGAGAAAGAAGAAGGAAAGCATTTTCTTAAAAATCTCACTTCTCCTCATTTTTTAAGAATCATAAAGATCCTTTTCAAAGGTGGAACCGCCCATCTGGATTGCCCGGAACGAACTGATTATTTTTTTTGCTTTTGTTTCATTTCTTAAAAATCTTTAAACCCCAATAGCTCTTTCCCCTCTCACACCTCTCAAGCTTGCTCTTTCCCCCTCGGCTCTTGCCCTAATCGCTCGCACTTAGCTCATAAGAGTAATCCCTCTTCATTTGCTTCCAGTCACTCTGTCTCTGTCTTTCTCTTTCTTGAGCTTCGTCGTTGTAAAGCTTCCATGTCTCTAAGCTCCTTTCTGGTTTTGCTTGTCATGAGCGCTATATGTTTGTTTTTCACGAGTCTTGATTTATCTATCTGGTCATTTGACGTGAGATTGGATCGTTTTGTGTGTTGGATCTCGTTGTGGTCTTCACCATTTGTGGTATGATTTGTTGTTTTCGCTACTGAGGAGCTTGTAAAATAGATGTGCTGATTGTAATTGGATCTATCGTCCGTCTTTCCTGTTTTGTTTACTCAGATGCTCGGTTGAATCGTAATCAGTTGATCTGTCGATGGTTCTGTGAATGGATCTAGCTATTTGGATCTAAAAAGCTTCACCTGCGTTGGCTTTCGGGAATTTTCACAAACACCTCAAAGGTTCCAAAAATTGTATTGAACCCCTCGAGAACCAGACTAGACCAAGAACTAATCACCCCTACTCCCGACGAGGACCAAGCTTGTATTAGAATTTGACACGGCACCTTCGGAGTTCTTCCGACTGTGGGCCTAACATCTTCGGAGTTCTTCCAGCTAGGCACCTAACTTTCGTGAGGATTTGAGATGGGGCATTCGGAGTTCGTTCCACAAGGCAAAGTTTCTAAGGAGTTGTTCCTCTGGAGTACCAGCAAACGGATAAGACAAAATAATTGCCCTAGGAGTTCTTCCAATAAGGTAAAGCTACGAAGAGTTCTTCCTACAGAGCATCAAAATTTAAACAATCCTTCGAAACTCTTCAGATTGGGATGTAAATACTCGTCATAAAGAAAACCAAGATGGGTTGGAATCTCCAAATGGAGGTCCAACATGCAACTCGCATTTACTAGGAAGGAAAGCACCTTTGGACAAAGCAAGGATTCATTAGGAACACCATGTTTCAATTTGAAGAAAAATGCAACGTGCATTAATCAAGTGTTTGTGCACGAACTATTACCTTTTACAAGCTTACTATATAACTAGTCGTCATGCATAATTTGAATGCCTGACAAAAAAAATAAAGTCATCGTCATGATGAACTCAATAATGATCACGGGATTTTATTCTAATGCTGAACAAATTCAGTCCAAAAAGACTTTCTCGCGTATTCTTATAAATAGGGCTTTTATCTCATCCATTAACGCGAGATCAAAACTACTCAACTTACTCAATAATATGCATCCTACGTGTAACGATCCGGTTCGACGAGGACGGTGAGTAAATACGTAGGCTAGAGTGACTGGACAAGGAGCGGCTTTCAACAAGCTTCTAACATGATGAAAGGGGCAAGAATGAATCGAATAATTCACCAAATAATGTAAGAGCATTCTTTTAGCATATATGGGAAACTGAAATTAACTCACAAGATGCGCCTTTTGATGTAACGATAACTTTTAACATTAAAACTTCAATGTTAAGCATGCCCAAGTGAAAAACACTATCAGGATGAATGACCTCCCAGGAAAATGTCTACTTGTACGCTAAAGGGGAAAACCGTGAGATTCGATATAAGATGGTTCAAAGTGAACAATATCTTGAATGAGTTAATTCAAGTGTGTCACACGACTAACTGGATTCGCTTGAGAACGGTACAAACTTTGAGCAGGATTTTTCTGCATGTGACACACCGATGCTAGCTTAGATATCCCAATTTGAAGAGACTTCATGGAATGTGATATAATTAAGCTAGTTGAACAGGTTAAGAAACAAAGGAATTCCTAAGATACAAAATTCATCATTAAGGTTTTTAAGTTGACGATCATCTTGGCAATATTATTAGCTTTGCATTCATTTGAGATGCGCTCTTCATTTTGGGCACTTCATTGGTCTCGAGAGTCCGAACTTAAATCTAAATTTACTTGGAGCTGCTTCATTTCCATCGTTGAATCAACTTTGATACTTTTCGTCTCTAACGAGGCACTACTTGCAGCATCTTATTCTCGCATTTTCTCTCTATTTGTTTTTCACTTTACTTTACAGGCTCCACCAACTTCCAAACATTTCGACATTTTTAGACTCTCGAAACCCTTCTCTTCATTTATGCTAGGGATTGTGATACCTTCTTCGGGAAGTTATTTGCCTTGCCCCAGTGTGGGGATCGTCATCAATTGGGTTTATCAATAATTCGCACACCGCTCGGGTTCAAAAGGTAGTTTATAACATAATTACGGGTGAATGATCAAATTCTGTATTCATAATGGCACAACATAATTATAGCTAAATTAGAAAGCTATTTAGGAAAAATACTTCGCATAGAAATCGCAGTTGACAAATTGGAAATCACCAAAGCTATAACTCGATACTAATTATGTTATTCAAAGCTACAAATTATATCTTAAAATATGTGAAGGTAGTACAATTTCTAAAGAAATAGCACTAATATCCATAAAAACAACACATTTTCTCTATTTGATCCATTGACTCACTCAATTTCATATCCATAACTGATTTAATTTAATATCCACTAAATTCTTCCAATTCCGAAAAAGAAAAAAGAAAATTTCCAAACCAATTCGAATATCTAAGTTCTCTTGCCTTTGAAAAATTGTCATTTTCTCCCTTTTATGAGATCAAGAGCAAAATCGTAACTTCACACGCATTCTAACTCGGAATGAAAAAAGTTTCAAAAACTTCTTCTTCTTTTTTTGGTTATTTTCAGTATGCAATCGTTCAAATTGACAAAGAAAAGAAAGAACTTAACTCATTTCACAGGAGAATATGCAAAACAATAACAAAATATAGTGCCAAGCTATTTTCCCGACGCGAAATTACGATTTCGGACACGCGGCCGGGCGAAATCACGATTTTGGACACGATCTCTGCATAAAGGAGGGGGGCGGTGCTTAGGGTTTATCGCGCGCGCAGAGAGACGGTGGAGGGAGGGAGGGAGGGAGGAGAGATGAAGGGGGTGGTGGGGATGGTGGTGTCGAACAAGATGCAGAAGTCGGTGGTGGTGGCGGTGGACCGCCTCTTCCACCACAAGCTCTACAACCGCTTCGTCAAGCGCACCTCCAAGTTCATGGCCCACGACGAGCTCGACCGCTGCAACGTCGGCGACCGCGTCCGCCTCGACCCCTCCCGCCCCCTCAGCAAGCGCAAGCGCTGGGTCGTCGCCGACATCCTCAAGCGCGCCCAGATCTACCGCCCCCCTCCCCCGCCCCCCAAGCCCACGAAGGCCGGCTAACCAGGTAGCCTCCTCCTCTTCCCTCGTCTCCTTTTGCTCCTCCCTCCCCCATCACCTCCGGTTTGAATCGTTGGCCGGAGCTATGTTAGAAGGTACAAGCTCTCAACGGCTTTAGAATGGTAGAAGGTATAAGCTCTTTCTGTTCCGAAACCAGTTCGGCATGTGGGTTTGTTCGTTATGGTATTTGGGTACGGAGCTTGGGGGAGTGATCACCTCCAGTCCCGGGCTCCGGAGCAACCCAATCGAGGACAAGGAGGACCTTTGCTTGATTTCGAACCGTCGGCTTTTCTTTTGTCGGGTCGGTTTTTTTCTTTTTTTTTTTGGTCTTCTTCTATGGCTGCGCATTTCAAATGTTGGAGATTTATGAGGGGAAGTCACGGTCGAGATAACTTCGTTGATGGAGAAGCATGAGAAATAATGCAACAGAGATTAAGTTAGCGCAAATCTTCTTATAGGGAATTTGTAAGGGTTATTTAGTATATGTTGTTGCTTCGGGATGGGTTTCGGCTGTTTTCGCTGACAGTGAAAATTTCCTTCAGAGGTTTACTGTTTTTTAATAACATCTGAATAATGTCACGGCTGCTTGTTCAATTTGTTGCACAAGAGGGAAGGAGGGAGGGAGGGAGATACTTCCAGTGGCTTGACATTGTTTAGCACCTACTGTCAGCTCACACTATTTTCATGCAGACTTCTGTTTCGCTTTAAAATTTTTAGTGACAGCACCTGGCTATCGGGTTCTCGATCTGTTGGCTTCAGATAAATTTATGAAGTGGGTTGTGAAAACTTCGGTAGGAGTGAGGTGCAATTTGCAGGTGGAGCATCTCTTGAGTCCTGACGGAATCAGCAGTTTGAACTTGGGAATGCTCAGATCAAGAACCGAGGCAAACCATAGACGAAAATCTTGCCTAATGCAAAACAAAATTTCAGTCTGGACCATTTTACACTTGAATTTGCATTGGCCTTGATCTTAACAGTTTAACATTTGTGGTCGCCAAGTCAGGATTCTCGGCCCAACATAAACAAAGTTGGAAGCCGAAATAAAAAAGGATTAGATTTCAAATGAAGATAGCCATAACAACCAATTAGACAGTTTTGTAAGTCCACGCATGAGAGAGCCACGAACCAAAGATATAAGGGCTCTATAAAACTTTTGGTTATGAGCCTAAGAAATTTGTGGGTCAAAAGAAGCTGGGAAGGGAATATTGATAATGTAAAGAATATACAGCGAAATTAAAAATGGATATTATATATTTTCAATTTAATTGTGTTTCCTCCGCCTCCTTTCATGTGGAAACGTTCTGCTTCAGTCATCTAAGACTAGAAGAATGGTATCAGAAAGAAATCTTATGTTGCCTCTACTTTTCTTGCAGGAGAAAGCTTGAACATAGAGAATTAAAAGCTGCGAGGCTGAATATAGTGGCTTTCTAAGATCGGCATAGTTTGTACTGGCTTTTGCTTTGGTGTTCGATAAGATGACGATCGCTGCATCTGCACTGTTGAGAATTGTCTGGACTAATTTGTTGGAGAGGAGGTATTGATAACCAACTTCGTGGAAAAACTCATGTATTTGGGTGATCTTTTCCGGTGAATTGATGGTTCATAAGTTACCCTTTCTTTGTAATTGGTCCAATGTCGTTTCCCTCATAGAACATCGGAAGCTGTTCTTTGGCTAATGTTTTAGGATTCAAATTCTTGCTTTGATCATACGTTAGAGATGCTACATGGCAGTTAACTCCGTAGAAGCTGCAAGGGTCACAATTGCAGCGCCTCATGGCCTTCACTAATAAATGAGACCAAATGTTTGTCCGGAGCATGGATATTAAGAAGCTGCACACATTGCTGCCACTTAAGTCTATAATGTTCATTCCTTAAAGTCATGGCTTAGTTGTTCTTCTTTTGTTGTGATTTCCCTCACTTTTACACTGTTGATGGTAATATCAATCATTAGAATAGTTTCCAACTGCTCAGGCATAGCCATACACTATGAACCCAAGTCAGGAATCTGATGCCAACCATTTAGATTGGTTCAGTCCACAATGGCTTTGATTTGGTGTTTCGGGGGTAGACTCAAGAGTTTGTGGCTTTAATTGTTGGGGTACACTCTGATCCAACCATTGATGCTGCTTATACTGTTTACTTCTCATTTAGCGGTCCTCGTTTTTGCCATTCCCGTTTTGGTTCGATCGCATCATCACAGGGGGTAAAGGTCGACCGTGGATCTTTCTATGGCTATATACTTCTTGCTTTCTGCTCATTGTTCGATCTACGTTTCGTAAGAATTCAATGGACGTTGAAAGAATCAAAATGAAGGCAAATCGGTCTCCTTTTACTTTTCCAGTCGAGGCCTGCATAGGTCTCTATATCCATAACTTAATTGTTTTCCGGATGTGCTTTCGATCAAGGTCAATGTCATCACTACTCCAATCAAAACTAGTGGTAAGTTTTGAGAATTTTGATTAACAATTTGACAGTACAATAGTCCCATGGAAAAGAAGCCTAATATCCAAGCACTTTCTTCTAGATTTACCAGATAAACTCGGCTTAACTTGGTGGCATGACTAAGGCTGAGAGTAGCATATTTTCCCATCTTTCGGATAGCGGAAAAATTGTCCAAAATGTCCTAAACCTATTTTATTTTTGCCAATTCAGTCCTAAAATTTTTAATTTTACCAATTCATGTCTAAATTTTTTCAATTCTTGCCAATTAAGTCCATCGTAGGGGTGTCAATGGGTCGGGTCGGATCGGGTCGGGCTTTCATGATACCCGATCCCGACCCGAAAACAATAGGGTTGCGCTTGACTCGCCCAGACCCGGCCCAAGACCCTTTTCAGCATACACCCCAAGGGCCGGGTGGGCCGGTCCGGGCCGGGTCGGGTCGGGTTTCGGGTTTTTTTTCTCTTCAAACACACACACACACGTTTCTCCCACTCTCTCTCCTCCTCCTCTTCGTCTTCTTCACCGTTTCTCTCTCTCTAGTTGCAGACAATTTGCAGAGACCAGAGAGAGAGAGAGAGAGAGATGAATTTGATACAGAGGGACAACAATCTACGAAACATTCTTTCGACACCCACCGACGAGAATCTCCTGTAAGCATCAGACTTGCAGCACAGAGCGATCTAAACCCAATCCCATCCTCGAGTAAGCTCTCAGTCCCCTAAGAGATTGACTAAATCGACGAGCTTTGATCGATTTACCTCATAGGCAAGACCTCCTCCAGTGCGTCCATCATCTCCAGCGGCCCCTTGTAAGAGCTCTGCACCTCGTTCTCCTCCTTGTCCTCCTCCTCCTCCTCCCCCCCTCCCCCCGACAACCGGTTCCCGGTGTCGTCGCTATCCTTCCCGATCGAGGAGAACCCCGCCGACGACGAGCCGCTTCGCGCCGGCGCCGCCGCGCCCCCCTTGCCGCTGGAGGAGTCGAGCTCCGGCGGATCGAAGGCCTAGGGCTGGGCGGCGCCGATCGAGAACCTGGGGGGCTGGACCTCGACCCCGCGGCCACCGTGCAGCGCGACCGACATAGCTGCCGCAATTCATCTTCTTCACCGTTTCTCTCTCTCTCTAGTTGCAGACAATTCGCAGAGACGAGAGAGAGTGAGAGATGAATTCGGGAGGACATGACCCTGTCGACGGAAGCGGAGAGATTTGAGCAAGCGAGCGAACGAGCGAGTTTAAGAGAGGGAGATGGGCTGGGCCAGAGTGTTAATGGGTCGGCTCGACCCTACCCCAACCCTAATGAAACTCCAAATTTTAGGGCCATATTCGAATAAGATTAAGGCCCGACCCCAAAATACCCCAAATTTAGGGTCGGGCCGGGCTGACGCGGGTTTCATTAACACCCCTAGTCCATCTGGTCATTTGGCTGGTCAGCTCTATCGTGGGCGCCGGCCGTCCGACCAACATTGACTTTTTAATTATTTTATATTTTTTGAATTTTTTCTTTTTTCTTTTTCTTTCCTTTTTTTCTACCTTCTTCCTTATGGTCGGTCCAATGACCGACCAGAGGCAACGGTTGGCCCAGCCACTGTCGAGGGCAAGCCTTGCCCACCCTTGGCTCAGCGAGGGCGACCTCACCGGGCTGGGCGAGGGAGAACCCAATGACTCCCTCGCCTAGCTAGGGGCAGGCGTGGCTCACCCCCGCCAATGGCTTCGCCAAAGGTCGGCAAGGTCAAGGGACGAAGGGTAGGAAAAAAATAAGAAAGAAAAAAAAAAGAAAAAAATTGAAAAATTAATAATAAAAAATGGAAACAAATATTAAAATATTAAAAAAAATCGTCCGGTCAGCGTTGACCAGACGGCCAGCGTCCACATCAGTGTTGGTTGGCCGAATGGGCTAAATTGACAAAAATATAATAGGTTTAGGACTTTTTGGACAATTTTTCCTTCGGATAGCTTTTACAATCACCCTTTGTTCGACATAGCCCAAGACTGTCAATTTACTAGCTATCAAATCCATTTCCCCGCGGGTAAGCCCCAAAGAAAAATTAATGAAGGCATATTAGAATCAACCAAGAAAGGCTTAGGAAAAAGTAGGAAGAAAAATTACGTGCAATTCCCCCTTCTACAAATCAAAGAATGGAAGAGCTGTAAGCATTTCTTTTCTAGGATGCCAGGTGAATTTGTGTGAAATTGCCCTGCCTTTCACTTCTCATGGATTCAAGTCAAGCAGAGATATATGGATCGTACTTAACAGGAAACATGTCGGCAATAAGGGTGTTCAAAAGAACCGGGAACCATCCAGACCGCCAGGGATCGACTAGAACCAGTGGTTCCTAAGGGGACTGGTCCGGTTCCCGGTTCTAATTTTTGGGAGCTGGTGGGTACCAGTCCGGTTCCCGGTTCCAAGTGTGGAACAGCCCACCTGCCCATTCGGACCGGACCGGTAATATAATAATAAATATAATATATTTATTTAAAAAATCATAAATCCCTAAACTAAATCTAAATCGCTCGACGTTCACAGCCTCACATTGAGCCGAGAAACACCTTTTTTCGCTTTCACATCACGCTCACTCTCACTTTCTCATTCTTCTCGGTCGATGCTTACCTCACCGTCTCCGACTCTCCATCTCCGTCTCCATCTCCATCTTTCTGTCTCTGGGATCAGTTCCATGGACCCACCCGGAAACCGTACCGGACCGGCAGTCCAGTTCCCAGGTGAATCCATGGAACCAACGAGCAGTTCCCCATTTCAATTTTTCGAAATCGGTCCTTAGTAGGCGGTTCCCGGTTCTAGGGTGGAAACCGCCCACCCGGACCATGCTCACTCCTAGTCGGCAATGTATGTTGAACATGCATCTTTTACCCTCCTTATTAAGCCTAATTCCCTAAAAACCCCTCAACTTTAAATCAAGTCTCAAATCTGCCTCAAACTTTTTTTTGTCTCAGAAAAAACCTCAAAATTTAGGTCTAGTCCCAAAATTTGCCCCGAACTTTTTTTTGTCTCGGAAAAAATCCCAAACTTTAGGTCCAGTCCCAAATTTGACCCGAATTTTGTTTTATGTAACAAAAAATCACTAGAATTCAATTTATTTTCAAAAATATACCCCCGTGATCCAGTCCCAACTTAATGTGGCACTTACACACGTCGATAACAAATTCACATCAACAAAGTAATGGGGCTTTTTTTTAGACAAAGAAAAGTTCGGAGCAAATTTGGATTGAACCTAAAAATTAGGTTTTTTAAATTAAAAGAAAAAATTTGGGGTGGATTTATTATTGTCCCTAACTTTCATATCCTAGAATCGTTTTATTTTGGAGAATTTCAACAATTTTTATTTGGTTTGATTTGTTATCGAAGTGGAAATGCGACGACAGTATGTACCTATCGCTAATGTGGATTTGTTATCGACGTAGAAGTGCCACTTCAAGTTGGGACTAAATCATAGGATATATTTTTTAAAATAAATTGAAATTTGCTGATTTGTTTTTACATAAAACAAAATTTGGGACAGATTTGAGACTGAACTTAAAGTTTTGGGTTTTTTTTTAGACAAAAAAAAGTTCGGGGCTGATTTGGGACTAGACCTAAAGTTTGGGGTTTTGTAGGGAATTCACTCCTTATTGTGTGTAGAATAGTCCGGCTAAAGACCTTACATGTGAAACATAAAAACATCTATGACATATCGAGCCGCTCGGGGAAAAACGGGACCGACAGGCATAATGACGAGAAGATCAGAGGGTCGAGAAATGAGTTGCATACCTATGATTTTGCACAGGGCCTTCCACGTCTTTCTCACAGGCCTTGCAGTGCATACACACCTTTGGTTCAATAACCTGTAACCAAGTGTTCGGCCAAAACGAAGATAGGACATAAAACATTGGTAGGTCATAGAACAGGTGCTTTTAGTGAAGGAAAATGAAGCTGAAGGAGGCCCTTACACATAAACCTCCACAGCTGTGGATGCTGAATGGCCCTGTCTTGTCTTGGGTTATATCTCGGGACGTGGTTCATACTCTCTATCGACATGAAGACACATGAGCCCCGCTCCCCAGTAAGCGGGTGGGGGTCCGGGGGCCACCCTAGCAAGGGTCGTAGGGGACAGTGCCCCCACAATGCCAGAGGGCTTTTATAGTTTGAGCTCATACTTTATTGGTAGTTTGGGTTTGGGCTCATGAGTAACTACTGAATACCTTAGAGAAGTGAGATGTGCTAAGTAGCAAGATGTAGCCCTAGTTTAATGGTGAACCAAGATAAAATATTATGTCTCGATTTTTCTTTCTCGTTTTTACTCTTTATTTCGTTATGTTAGTGCCCCCAATCCTAACACTATAGATTGCAAATGGCAGGGCGTCGTCTGTGAAGTTCGGAGGGAGAAGAAGATGATGATGATGATGCCTGTTGTTGTGATGATAAACTGTGGAGTTGTGTTGGTGACGATAGCTGTATGAATGGGACGAGGGCATGGGTGTCGCCATACTTTTGCCCATAAATTGGCATCACTGTCTTCCGATGTTAATGGCTAGTTGAAGTTCACATTACTCCTAAAAGATAGCAGAGGCAACATAAACTAACAGCATCTTTCTCTCGTCCTAGGTTATAGATTCTACTAGTGTCTGCATCATGAGATTTTCGAAAACCTGCTGTTTGCAACTGTGAGTATGGGAATCATTACCTAATAAAGGTGTGCAGCTCGTGGGCATTAGCTCTTTTTGACACCTCAACTCGAAGATTATAGGAGCTTTACAAATTTGAGGGTGCGAACTGTAAAGTATAGATGTCATAATTCAAGAATGCAAAATAAAATTGAGATGCAAGTATGAGTTATGCAAGAAAAATTCCATGTATGCTAGTTAATAAATCATAATTGACCTATGACTCATTGGCTTAAGTTTCTTTGATAAAGGTGAATTCAACTGGATATATTGAAGGGTTCGGACTTGGACTTTCTTTTGGCGATCTCCATGGATAAATGCTTCATACTCCCAACAAATGATATCAGAGTCAATAGTTGATTAGTAACCCACTTCCAATGTATATTGATGTATGATAAATGTATCAAAGAAGAAATCTGACCAACATGGAGAAAAGTATCCAAAAAGTGCTAAACATATTACATTGATACAAATTCAGTCATAAACCTTTCAATTTGATCAATTTAATCATAAACATTTTTAAATTGGTACCAATTCAGTCCATCTGGACAATTTAGACCAAAAATCATTAATGTAAACATTGGTCATCATACGTGACACGACCGAACTGACGTGGTCATCTTTTAATAATTTTTATAAATTTTTATATATATTTTTATTTTTTTCCTCTCTTTTCTTTTTTTCCGTTCCTTCCTCTTCCCTCCGCCAGTTGCCAGCCTCCATGATAACCGATGAAGGCCGCCAGTGCCACCCCTCACCGGCCTCTTGCCAGAGCTGGGTGAGGGTCCCCTTGCTAGATCTGACAAGGGGTGGCCTTGCCTAGATGGCAAGGGGCCTCGCCGGCTCTCGCGATGGCGAGGCCGCGTGGGCATCCCGACCTTCTCTAACCTCTAGCGAGGGCTGGGCAAGTGTCCCTTCACCAGATGTGGTGAAGGGTGGCCTCGTCTAACCCTCACTAGCCCTCGCCCTCGCCGGTCACTAACGGCCTTCACCGGTCATCGTGGAGGCTAGCGACTGGCGAAGGGAAGAGGAAGGAAAGGAAAAAAATAAAAGAGAAGAAAAAAATAAAAGGGAAAATAAAAGAAAAATTCAAAAAAATATTAAAATTTATAAAAAAAAAATGTCCATGTCAACATTGATATGCCACATAAAACGCTCGGCGTCCATATTAGCAATTTCCTGGATGAATTGAATTAATACCAATATAAAAAGGTTTAGGACTAAATTGATCCAATTCAAAAATTTATAACTGAATTGATACTGACGCAATAGATTTAAGATTTTTTTTTTTTAACCTCTCCCAACAAACATGATTTCCAAACAGCCATCATAACTCTGTCTGGCGAAGGCTTAGCATTTTCAACTGCACTTAACAAGAGCCTTCAGACAAGACAACACCCCTTCAGTAGGAGGATCTATCAATGCCTCATTATCTACCTTTGAAGTCCAAAACATCCTTTTGATTTTCTTGTTTTTTGGCTTAGAGGAGGCCTTATTCTCATTTGCCCTTATTGGCAAGTTCGTTAAAATGTTTCCAAACTAGGTGCTCAATCCATGGGAGCGCATCTCCTAAAGAGCCGGCACCCGGTTGGTACAGAATGTATACACAACACAGAAGCACAGCACAGTAAAAGGCAAAGGATTTGCCGATTCAAGAGACTGCAAAAAAGGCTCATGAGACAGAAAACAATTGGTGCGTAAACGAGGGCGAGCCGAGGCAAGAGCATTGTCGCTTCCATAAGGAAAGGCATTTCACCAAAAGCCTAAATGACCTTTAGCAAGATAAGTAGGCGGATTGCTGGTGCTCAAAAACAATACTGATCCTAAAAGATCACAGATAACTGTTCTTAATTGGCAAAGCTCAATCAGTGAACTTATCCGCTGTTTGTCCCACATCAACAACACGTCGCCTCTTGATAGGCAAACCTAACGTGAGCGTAGAAGACCATGAACAGAGCACAACTGAACACCACCACCCAGAAACAAAACCCTGCTACCCAAGAAATAGGATACGCAGATATTGTGCGCAATTGTGTACACATTCGCCGCGCACACACTAAAAGAAGAGCAAGGAAGACAGTTCATGTTGTTCCTTTTTTCCAAGACAACATATTTCTAAGTAACCCCCACATCGTCTCATCCCGGTGAAATGCATGTAGGCAACCATGATCTTGACTCATCCACTGACCAATTTGCCAACCAAAACAGAGAATCAAGCGTTGATGCCATCCTTGTTTCTATGCAATCGCCTTCACCTGAATCCTGCTTGGTTAAGATTAGTGCTGACAAAGTTATGCACAAACACGGTCAAATACCAATCGGACTCTGAAGTAAACCCGTGCCTACATTGCAAAAATTTTGGTACAACTACACCACCAATTTAGCGCACGACTCCCGCTATCCTAGGACCAGAGAAAATATAGTTTAGGGAAAAAATCAGTACCTTATGAACTTAGAAATAAAGTGTCACAGAATCATCAGTAACAAAACAATCAGGCTGAGTGACAACCCGAATATGTTTCCAAGATAGCCACGTAGCCTTCCCGCACTCCCGTAATAGGGTTGGATCATGATGTTGAATTTGCAAGTGTCAACTGAAGGATCTGTCCTAGTGATCGTCCCCAAGCCTGAAAACTTGCAAGCGCTGTCAAGCTGATTATTTATCTGGTAGTAACTGTTAAATGCATACGAGATGTTCCCTTCAGCATCTAGATTCCCACAAGATGTCCCGTAACCGAGACTAGTGCAATCGGCTAGCGAACACGCGTAGCTCACACTCGGCGCCACTTGATCAGCTGTGAGGTTGGCTAACATCTTCAATCTACACCACTTCTGCTCGAGATAGTGCACGCCTTGTGCAGGAATCAAGCCATTGGAACTGGTGGTGCCGAGATTGAACAAGTACTTGGGCCTCCCGTCATAGCGGAAAATCCCCCAGTGGCGCTCGAAATTTCCTGGCTCGATGCTCTTAGCATCCTCATCAATCAGACTGAACAAGTAAACGTCGATGGGTCCTGGTCTCATGGGGGTTCCTTTGCCACCCGATATGTGGGACATGAAGCCTTGGTTGAAGCGCTGGGCATAGATCAGGTTCGCGTTCCGGTCCCCATCAGTGGGCCACCCGATCTCTCCGACAATGACTGGCAAGTTCCCGAAGCCATTCTTCTGCAGGGCCCACACGAGCGTGTCGTAGTTAGCATCGAACATGTTATAGTACGTTGTGCTGCCATCGACGACAGGGGATGCGTTGCCATCGAAGAAGGCATATTCCACGGGAAAGTTGGGGTCAGTGTAGAGACTAATGAAGGGGTAGATATTCACAGTGAAAGAACCCCCGTTATCGCTCAGGAACTTGACAATCTGGATCATGTAGTCGTGGATGCCTGCACGAAAATCCCCACCAGATGGTAAGCTGGTCGAGCTCTCATAGACGTCGGCATTGAGGGGGACAGTGACCTTCACTTGGCTGCTAAGGCCAGCTCTTATGAGGGCAGATTGGACGTTCTGGAGGGCGGGATAGGTTGTGTTGAGAAAACTTCCGTTGTACGTTTGCAGGAAAGGTTCATTGCCAACAGCAACATACCTGCATGTCACGAGATGGATCTCTTGGTTAAGCTCAGCACATGACCAAAAAAAAAGTACTCTTTAAGAGGCAACCAATAAAACCGCAGCCCATGGGATCAGGAAGGGAAAAGGGCGATACAAAGTCTCAACTCAAATATATATTAGACCTTACCAAGGATATTCTTACTCAGGAGCACAAGAAAAAATTTAAGGACAAAAAAAAACCAAACATAGCAAGTGTCAAATAGAGTGAGTTTTAACCTTTCTGGATCAGATGTGGGCCATCTTCACTCCGATGAAGACAAAAATCAACCCAAATAAAAAGTAAGTATTAAACTCAAAAACCGGGAACAATCACCATTTGGCTGAATGTCATTCAAGTCCTAATGACTGACTCACGACGAGATAACATGCAGGCGGTTCATGAACTGACAATATGCTAGTTACTTAACCAGTTAAATGCAACAAAGAGAGCATTTGTGACTTTGGTCAGGTGAAATATAACATAACAAATTCAGAAAAGCAGAAGACGTTCGAAATCATCGGCTGATCGATTTCTGAAGAAAGTAACTCTTTATGTTGGCAACAACCTCATGAAGCTGAACCGTATTTAAGGGTGCCGTGATACAAAGCTAGCTGTAAGCCCCTTATTCATGAAAGGACAACTTTTATCCATTTTGATCTGTCCATAAGCTGCTAGCATGAGTGATGCAGCGACTCTTATGCAGAAGAATGAAGTTAAAGAAAATGTGAGGGTATGAGCAATTGCCTAACCAACATAAGTCAGCTAAATAAAAGTAACAAAAAGAGAAAAAAAAAACAATGAGAAAACCCAATAACATTTAGCAGCTGTAGCATTGATTTGCTGGACCAACTAAAAGATTTAGTTCACTGAATGTGATCACGTCAAAAGCAGAGGATCTGATCTCATTTCTCCTTTCTATGACTGCTGCTCTTCCACTACCACCTCCCTATTGCACCTAACTGTCTTTTATAGTTGCTACAAGCGCTATCTCTCACCAGAACCTTTCCATAATTGGCAGCAAAAGGAGAGGTTAAGTCAATTGAGCAGTTTTCATGCCAATAGTTGTGGAGAATGTACATCCAACTCTCTTAAGCATTATTTGTTGTGCCATGTAAATCTCTTGGTAGCTTTTCCATATCACCTTGGAAGGATACTCTAAAGTTGCATTTCTTACTCCAGATGGTCACCCACGTGAGCTCCTCTTATGGAGAATAAGAAGGATGATAAGCAGAGCAAAGCGCTTTCTCTATTAATGGAGGAGGTACAACTGACCCCGTTTCAATGGCTAAGGCAGAAACCACATAACGTCTTGCTATAAAGGATAGAGACTCTGCCTCGGAGCTTCAATGTGTAAAAGGAGGCAGAAAGGGTAGGAACTTTACCTTGTATTGTTCTTGTATTATTATACTAAGCTAAAAAGTTCGAGTAATGCCTTATATCGATCTAATATAGATATTGTTAAGTGCTACTCGAGCGCAAAGTTTTCATCCATCCCACCTAACTACCTCATTGCCAAGTATAATGGATTTCATTTCTTTCCTCCAAAACGATAGCCCTCTAGGTTAGGTATCTGGAAACATCAGTCTACGAAAGTGCAAAAAAATCTTTCAATACATATGGATGACAATGGAACCCAATTTTATGCTTGAATCTAGTCATACTAAAATCCTCCAATGTGAAACATCGAAAGGTAGAAGGTATATAAAATGATTGTTCTACAAAATCAAAGCAACAACTCCGTGAGTGGTTCCAAACATGAACCAGTTAGCCTGTCCAACTATCGTATCCCCTAATTGTAATTTTTAAAGAATAAACATCTATATGTGTGTGCTTTAGCAGCTATGTTTACCCCGTAGGAACTACTAGACCCTTAAAATCAAATTTGACTGAGCAAACAACTGAAATAAGATGGAAATTATGTTGTCAATCCACTATATGGTCTCGCAACAACTAAATTCTTGTTAATTGAAAACTAAAACTTATCTAGGAAAACTTAAGACCCTTAGTTGATCATTATATCTAAATCAAGCATTAGTGATAGATTCCCTCAGTTCTGGTTCAAGGCCTACAATACAGAATCTTAAGCTGTAAAGGGGAAATCACTTCACAAATGTTCTAGGTGGGTAATTGGAAGGGAGTTTCGAAAGCTACTTCTGTTTTCAGAATGTGACAGGAGCTTTTAACAAAATCAAACCATTCAGCACCGGTACTTATTATTATCACATTTGAGGGTAATCGTATCTACATTCTAAACATCTCTTTTGAAAAAAATCAAACCATTCAGGAATATTATCCAAACCATTCCCATATAATCCAAAACCAGGATAAATGAGTACATCATTACTCATCTAGTACCAGTACTTATTACTAGTGTAAAAGATTTCAACTCCTACGCAGAGATATGTGTGAAGTGAATATTGGGTCCGTCGCCACGGTCACTCTTGCAGAGCAAATAAATCTATGTAAAATTCATATCATTCACACTTGCCATGAACTATAGACAGCTTGCACCTTCCATTTCGAGACGCATTCTATTTCAAATTCAACAATAAATTAAGACAGGCAAAAGTGGTGAGGCGCAGAGGAGTTTATACCTTATGTTGACATTATAGCTGGAGATGTGAGTGGAGACATTCTTGGACACCCATCTCTCAGCAGCTTTCACACTGCCCGCCATAGAAGCAAGCATGTCATTGGGAATCCCCACCATGACCTCAATCCCAGTCCTTCCCAGAGCCCTCAACGCCCCATAGTCCGCGTCGAAAAGCTTCACCTTTTGGAAGCCATTGTCTCTCAGCATCCTCACCACCGTTGCTGGTGGGAGAGGGTGTGTAGCCTGAGTACCCCAGTTAGCCCCTATCCCACTCACTGAGCTCACCACTGAGAGCAACAACACCCAGGCCAACCCAAGAGACACCAACCACCCCATCACAAGCGATTGATACCTCAAAATAGGAACTTGGGTCGGGGAAAACAACTTGAAATGTTGCTTAAAAAGCTCAGAAGCCACGACCTTTATTTCATGTCTGAAGACCTAGAAGCAAAACTGAGACAAAGCAGAAATCCCACCAGGATCTTGTCAGCCAAGTGAAGTGGGGAAGCTGAGCACCTCAGAAACTCTAAAGTTGATGATAACAGAGCAGAATCTTCGCTGATACTTGGTGAGAAAAATGAGAGCAGAAGTGGATATCTGTTGCATTAGGCGAAATCAGCTCAAAACCCCCATCACAGATTCTTCAGAATATGAAAAGGAAGTAACTCAAAAGACGCAAATAAGAGAGAATATATTCGTTTTGCAAGATGGGTATGATGGGTTTGAGCTCGAATAAAGACAGGAAGCTAGAAACGGAAACCAAGAACCAGATTTGAAGCAGGAGCGAAAAGGAAAAACCGGATGGGAAGAGGGAAAAACGGTAAGCAGGTTCGGAAATGATAATGATTTATAAAGCAACGAAAGAAAAAATGAAAAAGGAAAAGAGGAAAGAAGAGGGGGGGGGGTGAGGACAGCGGAGGGAAGAATGACGAAACGAAGTTAAGGATCCTGTCCTTTTTTTTTTTTTTTGGGCGACAACTTAGCTCAAGAATCTATCCAAACCCAACGCAACCCATCATCCCCACTGAAAAAAGAAACACAAAAAAATGGCAGAGACTCGCTCACTGTTCACAGGCTCTCTTGAGAAGGAGGGAGAGATGGTTCTTGAGTTATGATGACTTGTGTTGCGCAGTTACTGCGACGTACGGGTCACCAATGAATAGAAAAATAGGGAACAAAAGCAAGTGAGTTCAGGCGTCAATGCGTGTCCTCGAGTGGCCTCGGTGGTATCTTGGGCAGTGGTGCTGCTGTACAACGTGACAGGGCAGTGTGGGGGCGGTCCCCCTGCGCGGCGACAGAAACGTCGTCGTCCCGTGCACCTTTGAAATTTTCGAAGGTAGTGAGCAAAGGTATTGAGTGAGCGCGCGAGATGATGCGGTTTGAAATTTTCAGGAGGCACGACCGCTACACGTTAAGGTGCGAATGGTAACCATTCTGTTCCGGAAATCAAATTCTTGCCAGAAATTGATTTCTGAAGGAGAAATCTGTTTTGGCAAAACATGACTAATTCTCGCTTGAAATTGATTTACGAAGCAATCTATTTTGATTTGTTGATTTTTTTGCACCTAAAAAATTTAAATTTTACTCAAAGTGGGTGGGCCACATATATTATAAGTCATTCTGTAAAGTTTTGAAATTTTTGATTTTTTTTAATTTTTTTTGGGCACCTAAAAAAATTTTAAATTTCATTTCAAAGTGGGTGGCACAGGTATTCTAAGCCATTTTGTGAAGTTTTGAATTTTTTTATTTTTTTATTTTTTGGGCACCTCAAAAATTTAAATTTTACTCAAAGTGGGTGGCTACTGAGATATTCTAAGCCATTCGTGAAGTTTTGAAATTTTTATTTTTTTATTTTTTTGAGCATCTCAAAAAATTTAAATTTCACTCAAAGTGGGTGGCCACAGGTATTTTAAGTCATTTTGTAAAGTTTTGAAAATTTTTCTTTTTTTATTATTTTTCTTTTTTTTGGGCACCTCAAAAAATTTAAATTTCACTCAAAGTAGGTGGCCACAGGTATTTTAAGCCATTTTGTGAAGTTTTGAAAATTTTTGATTTTTTTTGGGCACCTAAAAAAATTTAAATTTCACTCAAAGTGGGTGGCCACATGTGTTTTAAGCTATTCTGTGAAGTTTTGAAATTTTTGATTTTTTTTATTTTGTAAAAAAAAATTCACCAAATTTCATATTTTCTCGAAATCTGACTTTTTTTTATTTTCTGGAAAATTTTATGAATTTTTCTAGAATTTTTCAATTTTTATGCATTTTCTGAAAAAAAAAAATTGTGAGAAAATAGGGAGAATGCATTCCGGAATCAAGAAGCTACAAAAAGTAGCTTCTCTTTTTCTTACCAAAAACTCATTCCGGAATCAAGAATGCATTCTAGAATCAAGTATTTTTAACAAACGCATTTTTATTCCAGAATGCAAAAATCGCTCCAGAATGCATTCCGGAAATTTTTTAACAAACGTCATTCTGTTCCGGAATGCATTCCGGAACAGAATTTTTATTCCGGAATGCATTCCATGCGCACCCTTAACGGCTTTCTCATGTTGAGGCCGGGGAAGTTTTTCGTTCGGTCGTGTCGTAGGCCATGTTTGGATAGGATGATTTGTAGCCTATTGAGTCGAAACGCCATGTTTGGTCGTGTTCTCGAGCGACCGTGGTTGCGAAAATCTCTCGCTAACTTGACCTTTGATCGTGCACTGCAAATCTATGGAAGACTTATCGGTCGATGACTGTGATAATGGTTGCCGGTTCTAAGGATCATTGTGATGGTGATCGCTTGAGCATGAGGTTGCTTTCTCGGGTGCATCCTAAGGCTTTGTTTTACAAATCTATGGAGGATGGCATCAATCAACCACCACAAAGGCGGTTGCCGACCCCCAAACCCCCAAGGACCACCGTGATGGTGGTCGCATTGCATTCTCGCTTAACCATTTACTGAGATCATGAGGGTTGTGTCGGCCGGCACAAATCCATTTTTTTTGCTGAGTTTGCTTTTTGTCCACAATCCTTTCAATTTTTGAATCCAGCGTTGGACTAGCATCGCAGGGTGGTCGCCTTAAGTGTGACCATTGTTGGCCCCAAGCTGTCATGGAGGTTCGGCTTCAGTCAATGGCTATGCAATGGCTCGTAGTTGTGAGCGGGAAAATTGTCGAAAAAGTTATCAACATATTATACAGTGGCCAATTCAGTTTCAAACCTTTAAATTGTCCTAAAACTTTCAATTATGACGATTTGCCAAATTTGTTCTTCTCTCTAATTTTGGCCGGAAGCCACTAATGTGGTGGTCTAATTAGCACCAGTTGTCCTCCCGGACAATTTTTTTATAATTTTCTGGATTTTTTCCTTTTAACGTTTTCCCAAGCAAGGGTGGTCATCCCTAGCCCTAGCGAGGGTTGCCCTCGCCGGTGGAGGGAAAAAGGTAAAAAATTAAAATTAAAAAATTCATAAAATTAAAAAATGCAAATTTGTCAACTTCAACGTCGTGCCACACTGCCACGTAAAACAGCTAGCATTGACTAGACCACTAAATCAGTGATTTCTAGCTAAAAATTATTCGAAAGGACTAGATTGATAAATTGTCGAAAAGTTTAGAATTAAATTGAAAAATTGTTAAGATGTTTAGGATTTTTTTTGCTAAAATTTAGAATTAAATTGGCACAATTGAAAGGTTTATAACTAAATTAGCAAATAGTCAACTGGTGCTCACTTGGACAATTTTTTATAATTTTCTGGATTTTTTTTCTCTTTCTTTTTAACATTTTCCCAAGCAAGGGTGGTCGTCCCTAGCCCTAGTGAGGGTTGCCCTCATCGGTGGCCGGTGGAGGGAAAAAGGTAAAAAATTATATTAAAATTAAAAAATTCATAAAATTAAAAATTTGAAAATTGTCAACTTCAGAGCCATGCCACGTAGAATGGCCATCGCTGACTAGACTACCACATCAGTGATCTTTGGCTAAAATTATTCGAAAGGACTAGATTGACAAATTATCAAAAAGTTTGGAATTAAATTGAAAAATTGTTAAGATGTTTGGGATTTTTTTAATCAAAATTTAGGATTAAATTGGCACAATTGAAAAGTTTATAACTAAATTAGCAAATAGTCAAAAGATTTAGGATTAAATTTGAAAGGTTTGGGATTGAATTGGCCGTCGTATAACAAATTTATAACTCATTTGATAATTTTTCCATTGTGAGCACCCTTTTTTTTTTCAAAAATGTCCTTTTTCTTTTTTACTTGATCTTGACTTTATTTTCCTTCATTACGATTAAAATGAACAAAACCACTTTGTCATTATGATTTTTTGTTTCTATGCTAAATATTTTTACTTTTAATTAAAGTAATGATAGCTAATTAAAGTAAACTATCAACAAATTTTAAAGGCATATGCTTAGTGTCAAGAAACATCAAACTCAAAAGAGGGAATTCGGGGAAGACACCCAACTCAAAAAGGACACATCCCCCTTCTAACTCGGGTTAGAACTCAATTGCACAAGAATAGACAGCTCTACCAATTAAAGAAATGTCACGAGTAGCGACATAAGCTAAAGGTCATTTTGTTTGAAAGGAAAATTGTTTTCAAGAAATTATTTTCCGATTTTCCGATATTTGGATGACAGAAAATTAATCTATGTGCGGACAACGCTTTATGTGGATTGAAAACAAAAAGTTTAGATGAGGGAAAAAAGGACTTTAGTTTATAGCAAGAAGAAAATCACTTTCCCTAAATCACCAAACAAATAAAAACCAATCATTTTCCTTTAAAATAATTTCCATGGAAAATATTTTCCTTTATCATGAAATTCTCAGTGAAACAAATACTCACTCACCCTGAGGGTCTGTTTGTTTCGCTAAAAACTCATAATTTATAAAATATTTTCTTATATATAATCGCTTGAATCGTTTAAAAAAATGGACCACAAAAAACTTAGGCATAAATCATTATCAATAATGCAAACATTTTCTGTTGGCTAATTATTCCAAAAGATATAACCGATTATTTTTAGAATAATATTTTTCAAATCATTTATTTTCCGCAAAACAGACGGACCATATTACTGGTTTCCAAGTCCCGAAAGTAATTTTCCGCATCCCCTTAATAGCTTCAACAACACCAGCAACATTAGATACTTAGCACAACATGATGCCACCGTTTCAGTCAAGGTAATCTCTTTGATTCTTATGCATGTGGAAACCATGAAGCAAGTAGTTTTCCTGAACAAAAAACCCAAGAACCTTTAATAACATACCGAATCTAGCACGTTCACTAGGTCACTAAAAACCTTTCGAGGGGTTAGCCTCGGCTATCGACACGAGCTTAGTAGATCTATAGCCTAAGGTGCTAGTATGTAGCGAAGAAGGCTTATAGTCCATCCTAGTCACCTTTCATGACAGAGAATTATCAAAAAATTCATAAACCTATTGCACTTGTACCAATTTAATACTAAACTTTTCAATTGTGCCAATTCAATCATAAAATTTTTGATGATTTGCCAATGTAGTCATTTTAGTCAATTTTGATAGTAAAACTCTGATGTGGTGATCTAGTTAGTGCTAGCTGTCTTATGTGGCATGACCGACGCTGACGTTAACGTTTTTTTATTCTTTTTTTCCTTTTTTGTTTTGTTTCTTTCATTTTCGCCGGTGGCCGGTGTCAAGCGATGGCCGGAAACCAACCACGAGTGATGGTCAATGAGGGCTAACCTAGCAAGGGCCGCCCTCGCCGGTCGCAATAAAGAAAAAGAAAATAATAAATAAATAAACAATTCAAAAAATTACAAAAATGTCCACATCAGCGCCGGCGGTGCTGCGTAGGACGGCTGGCACCCATGTCAATGATTTTTGGCCATGGTAATTTTATGACATTGGAAGAAGAGAAAATGTTTAGGACTCAATTGGCTAAATTAAAAAGTTTATGACTGAATTAATACGAATACAACAAATTAATGAATTTTTTTTGGTAATTTTCCCCCTTTCACGACTGCAGAGGAATTTTTTCCTCTTCCTCTCTTCGATGAGCCCTTTCTAGATTCCCACTTAACCCCTCTTTGATAGCTTTGACTTCTGTAGTGTCCACATCTTGAACGCGACCAGACTTCCAATGTCATCAACTAACTTACCAAAGATGTCTTTAACAGCTTTTG